ACTTTCAGGCATGTATCACACACATGGGGCATGTATCACACACTGCGGGCATGCATCACACATCGGGATGCTCAAAACACACAGCAGGCATGACCACATTCAGGCATGTACCCCAAAACTGCAGGCATGCACACACTTTCAGGCATGCATCACACACAATGCAGGCATGCTTTCACACACAATGCGGGCATGCTCCACATTAGGTTTTTTTTCACCAATGCAGGCATGCATCACACTTTAGGCAGCTCCAACACCAGGATGCTCCACATTCAGGCAGTATCACACACATCAGGCATGCATCAAACATTCAGGCATGCATCACACTTCCCGGCAGCATCACACACACATGCGGGCAGCTTCACCACACAGCAGGCTGCTCACACTTTCAGGCAGCATCCACACAATGCAGGCGCATCACAATTCAGGCATGATCAAAAACCACATGCAGGCATCATCACACCGGGCATGTCACACCACATGCGGCATGCATCACACATTCGGGCATGTATCACCCAGCGGCATGCATCAAATTTCAGGCTGTACACACACATGCAGGCGCATACACATTCGGGCAGTATCACACACAGCAGGATGCTCACACACACATGAGGCTGCATCACCATTAGGCGCATCACACCACATGCAGCTGCATCACCATTCGGCTGTATCCACAACATGAGGCTGCATCCCCAATTCGGGCATGCTCACACCCCAAAAGCGGCGCATCACACATTCAGCTTTCCACACACGGGCATGCATACCATTCAGGCATGCACACACACACATGCGGGGCATGATCACACACACATGCAGGCATGCATCACACATTCAGGCATGTATACACACTGCAGGATGCTCACACATTCAGGCATGCATCACACATTCGGCATCCACAACACACAGACAGCATCCACACAATGCAGGCATGATCACACATTCAGGCATGAAATCACACACACAGCGGCAGATAAAATTTCGGGCATGCATCACACACACATGCAGGTGCATCCACATTAGGTTCACACCACAATGCAGGCATGCTCAACATTCAGGCATGATCACACACATGCAGGCTGCTCCCCAATTCAGGCATGTATCACACACACAGGCTGTCACACCACTCAGGCTGCATCCCATTAGGCATGCATCCACATTAGGCATGCCACCACACCATCGGGAGATCACACATTCGGCATGCCACCACAAACAGCAGGCATGCAAAACACATTCAGGCATGCTCAACCTTGGGTGCATCACACACAAAATTTGCAGGCAGCATCAACATCAGGCATGCTCACAATTCAGGATGATCACAACACACCATGCAGGCTGCATACACATTCAGGTGCATCAACAAAGCAGGCTTGCATCCACATTCAGGAGCATCATACACATGCGGGCATGCATCACCTGCGGGGGCCAATCACACTTTCAGGCATGCATCACACTTTTTCAGGCATGCATAAACACCAGCAGGCACATCACACATTCGGGATGAAAACCACATTCAGGATGTTCACCAATCAGGAAAGCATCACAATTCGGGCATGATCATACACCATGCGGGCAGCTCACACATTCAGGCATGTTCCACACTGCAGGCATGCTCAAAAACCCAGGCAGATCAAATTCAGGCGCATCCAAATCAGGCATGCCCACATTCAGGCGTACACACCCATGCCAGGCAGCATCACATAGGCTGCATCACACATTCAGGCAGCATACAATTCAGGCATGCATCATACACACATGCAGGCATGATCAAAATTCGGCATTGTTCACAACAGGCAGGCATCATCACACTTCAGGCATCATCATACAACTGGGCAGCATCACAATTCAGGCATGTTCACAACATGCGGGCAGCTCACACACAATGAGGCAGACACACTTCAGGCATGCATCATACCAATGCAGATGATCCACATTGGGGGCATGTAACACACACAGGCATGCATCAACACCTGTAGGCTGCATCACACACAAATGTAACAACATCACACACACACATGCGGGGCATCATCAACACAATATGCGGGGATCATCCCAACATAGCACCATGCATCCCCAACAACTTGTAGGCTGCACAACACACATATGCACCCATCTCACACCAACTTGTGGGCTTGCATCACAACATATGCAGGGATGCATCCCACACATATGCGGGATCATCAACCACATTGCGGGGATGCATCACACACAAAAATTTGCAGCCATGCATCCACACCCCCCTTGTAGGCATGCATAAAACCACACACATGCAGGCTGCATCACACACACAATGCGGGGTCTCACAACACTAGCACCCATGCATCACACACCACATCAGATGCATCCACCCATTTGTAGGCTGCATCCACACACACTGCGGGCATGCATCACACACACACATGAGGCGCATCACACCACACAGCAGGAGCATCACACCACCTGCAGGCATGCATACACCACACACATGCAGGCATGCATCCCAACCACATATGACCAGCTCCCCCCA